CCCAGAGTTCAAGCCCCAGGACCGAAAAAAAAAAAAAAGGGAAAAAAGAAAAACAAAGAGATCTTGAAATCCTTCCTTCCTTCATTCCTTCTTTCCTTTCTTTTTCAAAACGAAGTTTTGCTAATTTAGTCCTAGCTGGCCTTGAACTCAAGATCTTCCTAATTCAGTCCCCCCCAATTCTGGGATTACAGGAGACGAAAGATATCACAGCAACATTTCAGCAGTAAACTAAAGGGAACATCAAAGGGGAAAAGCTAACCAGGCATTGGTGGCTCACACCTATAATCCTAGTTACTCAGGAGGCTAAGATCTGAGGATTGTAGTTCAAAGCCAGCCCAGACTGGAAAGTCCATGACACTCATCTCCAATTAAGTACAAAAAAAAATTGGAAGTGGAGCTGTAGCTCAAGTGGTAGAGGCCTAGTCTTGGGCAGAAGAGCTCAGGGGCAGTGCCCCAGGACTGACACACACACAAAAAGGAGGGGTGGCTAGATATGGTGGTGAATGCCTGTAGTTTGTTCTAATGAACAAATATGTCTGTTGCAAAAGACCTAAAACACTTGGAAAGAGTTAATCACATTGTCCACACCCTCTTATGTGATGACTTTGGGACATTATCACCAGTTTCAAATTCTCAACTCAGTGAGCAAGCTGAATTTTCCACCAAACCTCTACTGATACATAACTAGTCTGATTCTTGGGAGGACCTAGCAATTAAGTTCACATGAGCTTTTCTTCTGCCCTCACCTCCACAAATCTTTTTAATTGGTGTGGCTTCTCTTGAGTCAAATCTGTAGTGACTGAGGAATGTATCACAGTCTCAGTACATTTCCTCTAGATTAGTGGTTTTCAAACTATCATGCTCATCTATTAAAATGATGACTGGGCCTGACCCCAAAGTTTCTGACTCAGCAGGTCTAGGGTAGGACTGATAATTTCTAGTTCTGACAAGGTCCCAGGTGAAGTGTTGCTGCTGATTAGAGAACTGTACCAACTTCGAGACATGGTCTTTTTTCAAGAGACAGAAATTAAAAATAAAGCTAAAGGGTAGTAATCAATGCTCACTAGAATAGGCCCTCTATATTTAAAAGCTCTGCAATGTATTTTTGTTATGCAAAGAAAATAAACTACACACTATAGTAGTAATTAGAACAATCTCTGAAATGTCTAATGCTACTAATCATGACTAAGACATCAGTCAAAAAAAGTTACCAGTATTTAGTCCATGAGAAAAATTGCTTTCAGATTGAAAGATAATATTTCTTTCCAGGTTTAACTGGAAGAAAGCAGCCTTTTGTAAGCCTCTTAAGTCCTTTTAAGGGGACCACTTAAGTAAACTGCCATTTATCAACTTATTTACCTATTTAACCCAGGAACTTGTTAACATTTTTCCCTGTAAAATGATGAAGTTATGTTTAGGGAAAATCCAAATATGCTTGCTAGTATTTCCATACAACATATTAAGAAACTTTTGGAAAAAAATCAGTAACAGGTGTTTTCTAAAAGTATTGAAAATGTGCCCAAAGCTTTAAAAGTGAACACAAAGATAAAATGCAAATATAATCAAGGGTTTGTTGGTTAAATATTTGTTATTATTTTGCATATAGCCAGATGTTATTTTCTTACACTTTAACCTTAAGAATATACTTACCTTATAATATTAAGCTGTATCTAATATAAAAATTTTAACTACATTTATGCAATGACTTTAGGGTTCCTTTCTTTCCCCATCTTAAGATGAAAATTTGCAGATGTGAAAATATACAGAACCATGGCTGGCTATGTACTGCATGAGAATGGAACACAATCTGACATTTCTTCAAATAAAAGGTGCAAAAATGGTATTGCTTCCAAACTAGCAAATTAAAATAATTATTGGAATCAAATCATGGCCCATGTGTGCAGGTATATTATCAGCTGCTCAAGAACTATAAGAAACAATAGTCTGACCTCATCAAAAAACTGCTGAGTTTTGCGAAGTATAAATTTTAATTCAGTCAGTTCCAGGAAGTTTCTCTTCAGAGCTTCCTGGTTTGTATTGATTTCCTTCAGTTCATTTTCAATCTTCTCAAAATTGGCCTAGAGGGGGAAAAAAAGTTAAATCAAGCTAAGCTCAATATGCTTACTCTGAATTCAATGAATTTAGCCTGTCAAAGATACACCTACCCAGAAAATACTTCTGATTTTGCTGGACCAAGTTTCTTTATGTAATTTTTCTGCTTAACATAATCATTATCTATAGATTTTATTGTACACTCTGTAAATGGTTTTTTGTTTAAATCTAGAGGTTGCTGAACTCAGGTGCTATTCCTGGGTGCTATTCCTGAGCTTCCCTCCCCCCCTACCGCATCAATGCTGGTACTCTACCACTTGAGCCAACTACACTTCCAACGTTTTGGTACTTAATTAGAGATAAGAGTCTCATGGACTTTGCTGCCCCAGCTTGCTTCAACCCCTGATCCTGAGATCTCAGCCTCTTGAGTAACTAGGATTACAAGCATAAGCCTCTGGTACTCATTCTTTTTTTTTTTTTTTGGTCATGGGCTTGAATTCTGGGCCTGGGCGCTGTCCCTTAGCTCTTCAGCTCAAGGCGAGTGCTCTACCACTTGAGCCATAGCACCACTTCCAGTTTTCTGGTGATTTATTGGAGATAGGAGTCTCAGAAACTTTTCCTGCCCAGGCTGGCTTTGAACCACAATCATCAGATCTCAGCCTCTTGAATAGCTAGGATTACAGGCATGAGCCATGTGCCCAGCTGCCATTCTTTTTGTTTTTGTTTTTTGTTTGCCAGTCCCAAGGCTTGAAGAACTCAGGGCCTGGGCACTTCCCTGAGCTTCTTTTGCTCAAGGCTAACACTCTACCACTTGGGCCACAGCCCCATTGCTGGCTTTTTCTTTTTATATGGTACTAAGAAATCGAACCCAGGGCTTCATGCATGCTAAGCCAGCATTCTACCACTAAGCCACATTCCCAGCCCCTCTGGTGCCCATTTCAAGAGGACAAATATTATTAAAAAGCCCAGGGGCTATTCATTTACTCTATGATTAATAGACAACTAGATAATTTGACATTAATCCAATAAGGGTTCAATAAATCAGTAAACATTTATTTAGTAGTATATGAGATATGAGATACTGAGATATTGAGATACTGTCTGAAACATAAAAAAGGGAATTTACTTATAGTCAATCCACTATGTTCATAAGGTTGGCAAGAATTACTCTACTCACTACCTACTCAGAAAGTAATTTCCATACTTAATCAGAAAAAAAAAATATTTTGTTTTCTCAGAATTATTTACCTCTAAATCAATCATGTCCCGAGGGAAGGGTACCTCTGGGTTTTCACCAGTGTCCATAATGGGAATGTTAGCTTTCCTTATCTCTTTTTCAACAAATCCTAAAATGATAAGAGTCAAAACAGTCACATCTAACTATACAAGTCTAGAACTGCAACTATTAGAGGAAAAATAGTAAGATTTAAAACCTGGCTACAAAGTATTTCAGCCTAAGAAAGACATTTCATATTTCCACCATATCCTTTTTTTTTTTTTTAAATGTTGGTCATGGGGCCTGAACTCTGGGCTTGGGTGGGCACTGTCCCTCAGCTCTTCAGCTCAAGGCTAGTGCTTTACCACTTGAGCCACAGTGCCAATTCCGGCTTTTTCTGCTTATGTGGTGCTAAGGAATTGAACCCAGGGCCTCATGCATACAAGGCAAGCACTTTACCACTGAGCCATCTTCCTAGCCCTACCATATCCTTTCTTATACCCCACACTCTCTAAAGCTATTCTAAAGAGGATAGTAAACCCAGAACCCACATCTTCCTTCCTTCCCTCTTTACTCCCTTCAATATAAATATATATGCTCAATATAAATGCTCCCCAAAATATGTTCCCCAAGTATGACAGTTCAGTTTGTAAATATTATTATGGCCAAACACAGTTAAAAAATATATATAATATAAATGAACATGACACCACACAGTAGTAAAACAACTCTTGGCCAAAAGGATGTATTACATTTGAAAACAATCAGGTTTTTTGTTCGGTTTGGGGGGTTTGTTTTTAGTTTGGTTTTGTGGTGCTAGGGTAGAATTCAGGACCTTACTGCATGCTAGGCAAGTACTCTACCAAGCTCTCAGGTAAGTTTTAAGTGTAAAAATTTAAATATGCAAACACATTTTAAAAATATTGCAAAAGGATCAAAATACCAAAAGAGAAAAGTGTTTCAGAGCCACCTATCATCCAACTCTAAGAGGCTTGGTACAGTGGTAAGATAGTAGGTTTGGATACAAACAGAAAAACATGGTTTAAAATACTAATTTTTTTAAAACTTTTTTTAATTGTGAAAATACTGAACAGAGGGGTTACAATTACTTGGGCAAAGCCGGGCACTGGTGGCTCATGCCTGTAATCCTAGCTACTCAGGAGGCTGAGATCTGAGGATCGCGGTTCAAAGCCAGCCCAGGCAGGAAAGACTGTGAGACTCGTATCTCCAATAAATCACCAGAAAACTGGAAGTGGCGCTGTAGCTCAAGTGGTAGAGTACTCGCCTTGAGCTGAAGAGGTGAGGGACAGCACCCAGGCCCAGAGTTCAAGCCCCACAACCAACAAAATAAAAAAAACAATTACTTGGGCAAGATGAAATACTAACTTTATCATGACTACTTATGTTCCTGGGCAAGTCACTAAAACTCTCTGATCTTTAGGCACTTTGGTCATTAAATGGTTAGCACTCATCCTGAAGGAAACTTAAAGAGAATGAATAAGTCATTTACTCATTCATTAGCCTACGTTAAAAGGTGGCTCTGCTGACATCTGAAATTGACAGTCCTCTGCTTTCTTCTCTCAGCATTCTATAATGTAGTTTTGCTATTAAATCTCATGAAAAAATTACTGCAGGGCTGGGAAGGTGACTCAGTGGTAGAGTGCTTACCTTGCATGCATGAGGCCCTGGGTTCAATTCCTCAGCACCACATAAGCAGAAAAAAAAAACAAAAACAGAAGTGGCACTGAGGCTCAAGTGGTAGAGTGCTAGCCTTGAGCTGAAGAGCTGAGGGACAGCACTAAGGCCCAGAGTTCAGGCCCCACGACCGGACCCCCTCACCCCCCCCAAAAAAAAAAGGAAAGGAAAAAAGAAAAAAATAACGGCAGTACTTTCCACCTGCCCTGTTGTTTGAACAAAGTTTCTAGCCTAAACCCGACAAAATCTATTTGTATATATTGATCATCTTAATGTCTCTTTTTCTCTCCTGTAATATTTCCTTCCTTTATTAAAAGCACTAATGTCTAGCTGGGTGCTGGTGGCTCATGGCTGTAATCCTAGCTACAGAGGAGGCTGAGATCTGAGAATCATGGTTCCAAGCCAAACCCAAGCAGGAAAGTCCGTGAGACTCTTATCCCTAATTAACCACCAAAACCCTGGCACTGTGGTTCAAGGGTACAGCACTTGCCTTAAGATGAAGAGCTCAGGGACAGCACCCAGACCCAGAGTTCAAGCCACACGACCGACCAAAAAAATAAAAAAAGTATTAATGTCTCTAATCTACATAAATTATAGTGACATCATACAAGACCAAAATGCACATACGAAGTTTTCGATCCATTTCTTCACATCTTCTAACTTCATTCACAAATTTCCGTTGGAAAACATTCACATCTGGATTTAACTGAAAAATAAAAACCCATTTAAAAACTTCAAATAAATGCATCCATTTCCTATAACAAGCAACATCCTTCAAAGTGAAAACCTAATTTTGTATCAAGGTATACTGAAACTAATCAAAATCATTTAATGATCTATGTAAATTTTTTTGCAACCAGTCACACAAGCTAAGCCAAAACCTTCCTTCCTTGCAGCTACAACACATTCCTGGAATGGAAGCAGCAGGCAAAGCAGCGAGCTCCCTTCCCAACATCTAAAATTAGGGGACTAGGTATAGAACTCTGGTTTCCTTCTCTTTTTCTTCTCAAGTAGAGAAGACAGAAAGCATCCTTTTTTTTTGATGGGGGGGTCTGGTCGTGGGGCCTGA